TGGCCCCGTGTATCTATAAATACAGTTTCTTTGGCAAGTGCAGCGGCAGCAACATTAGCGAAAAGAAAAGCCACGCGCAACATGTCGCCAGCTATATATATTATATATATACTTCATATTTAACACGTCACTTGTGCGTGTGTCATGTGTGGGTAGAAAGGTGCTCCCTCTTACAGCTTTTTTTCACGGAGACACGTTAACCCAAAGTCAGTCTTTCAACCGGAAGCAAAAAGATTTGTCAATTTGCTCCCGCACATCAAACACTTCGATGGTGGCCGTCCATTGGGGATCAGTGGACAGGGTTTTCTTTTTAACTATGTAACGAAGTTCTTCTTCGAATGTCACATCAGGCCCCATCGTGAGAAGTGTGGACAGGTAACACCACTTCAGCAGAGCTTGAACCTCCTCGTATTCACCCAAGGGTTCGAAAGCACTCCGATTGCCCTCCGCAACTTCACAAAATTCATATTTGCTCACCGGACAGACGTCATGAGGCCATTCAGTGCCTTGGTTAGTGTCAGGTTCAAAGGATTTGTTTTGGGGTATCCATGTGTGTGTGTGTGTTCGAAAGACTGTTGCGAACAGTTAAAACATGTTAAAACCAAGTCGCCCATTGATGGGGTCAGCTGCTTATAATCTTCTCGGGGACTGCCCATGGTCAATGTACAGTTGGTGCTTTTGCGTCGAGTTCCTTGCTCCCAAAAGGCTTCGACTATTGACCCCAAACCCATGTTTTAGAAAACTGTCGCGCAGTACATTCAGATTGGCCGTTCCGATCGACGCGATCGATGCTGCTTTGACGACACCAGTTTGTTTTCACTCACCGTTGCTCAGAGAGCCGATCCTTCCGGCAGCCATTGTTTTCTAAGGACGATTGAACGCTGCTGCAAAATGCATGTCGTTTGTCTAGTGTCCAACAGTTAATTAGTCTAACGGTTGGATGGACTATGGCGCACAAACATCACCTAACCACGGTGAACGAAAAAGATGCCCCACTATCGTTGACATGCTGATAAGTTTCTTTCAATACCACTTGAAGGGGTTGAACATTGTAAAGAAAAACCATTGAACTGCTGTGTTTCCAGGGATGGTGCTAGTATTTGAGTCTGTGGACGCTTTGCAAAACTGATGCCCGGCTCACATCATCTCAGATCGATTGAATATGTCACCTGAGTTCAGGTTGGATTGATTAAGAGTTGGTGAATTTTCTTTTGGAGTGAGATTGAATAATTCCATTCACGTGCAAACCAACTCCATTCCGAGTTGAGGGACCCAGTCTGTTCCGGATCGTTCTCAAAATCCATCTCCTCCTCTTCACCCTCTTGATCTGTCGGTAGGGCGTCATCGTCGCCGTCGCCGGGCTTGACGGACGCCACTCCAGTGGCCTTGGCACGCGCAGCCCCAATCATAGCCTCCTGGCCGCCGGTGGCTGGTGGCTCAATTTAGACGGTGGAAGCCTTTAAAGCTGCGAAGACATTGTCATTGCATGTGTTCGGAAAAATATTGGACTCGATTGGACTCTTTTTAGAAACCCCACCTTCATGGCCTCTGCCGCATCGATATCGCCCTTTGTTCGCAAAAGCTCATTCCTCAATGCCACCTCAGCAGAAACAAAAAGCACCGCATGGGACAAAATGAGCCACGACTCATGAACACCTAATAGTATATATATATATGTACATGTCTATGTGTGCATGTCTTTGCACTAGCTGCCAAATGGCTGCGATCTCATCGAGCTGATCAGGAGTGATACCGTCCACCGGCTTCAACTTAGATGCGCGATGAACATGAAAGTTGCACTGATTCGAATGTTCTTTTGCAACCGTTTCTTTTCACATCACACCAACCCCGAACTACATGTATATAAGCACTAATTTTAACCTGGGCACGCGATAGACTTCACGTCCATTCACCTTGAACCCGTACTTACCGTCCTTGTAGAGGCCTTTGTGGACAGTGAGCCTCTCACCCCCAGGAGGTTCAGCCGCTGAGACGGCCTTCAGTGCTGAAGGCCGCTTGAGCACAGTCGTGGGTGCCGGAGGCTTTGGAGACGCCTTGGGTTTGGCGACACTCTTGGCCTTAGCCTTTCCTTTGGGAACTGCAGCAGAAGCAGCACTCTCACTGGCAGCTGGTTTGCCTACTTTGCTTTTTGATTTCGCCTTTGCTTTCACTTTTGGTCCGGCTTTGGCTTCCGGGGGTTTGGTTGTGTCACCACCCTCAGGCTCAGATAAAGAATCTACCGGGGATAGAGCCATTGCACGGACTAGGTCGAAATATCCCTGCATTTCTATTTTGAGCCAACCTGGACTCTCCCAAACATCATCAAATGTATCCAAAAGATTGATTATTTCCATCCAACGTCAAAGTAATGATTAACTATCCATGGACTGCCAAAAGAAAGCAACGCTCATACGCAAGGCGGCATGCACTTGAAGTTCAACATCCTCTTGGACGATGAAGCGCTTGCAAGGACCCAAAGCCCGAAGCGCACAAGCTGTTTCCCTGCAGATGTTCTGATCTAGAAGTTGTCGCTACGATCAAAATTACTGTAGCCATGGTTGTTTGTTGCACGCACTCCCTACATGGATGGCTCGTGCCTTTAGGGTCGAGATGAAAGAACACAGCCGGATGAAGGAATTACCCAAACATAGTCGATATCAAAGTCTATGTATAGAAATATGAACTATTTTTGGAATACTGCTCAACCCCTCAACCTATGAGCCACCATGTCCTTGGCGTGCCATCCATGGACACGGTATACCCAAATCTTTCAATGAGCTACGCCAACTTGATGGCCTTGCTTGGTGGCACTTGCACGTTGGCAAACAGGTAAAACTTCGGCTTTGTTGGCCGGAGAATCGCTGGAACTTCTTCGCCCAACTTGACCTGGCCACGGTATTCGGCCAAACTAAGGCCGCTATTCTCTACATCATCTATCGCCGGGTGCCCTGTGGATGATATGGACCAAAATGGAAGCTACTTGTGGCCTTCAAAATCCCTCGTGAGGTTTTGGGTGATTAATGGTTGCTACTTGTCAAATATTTCAGCACCAGACCCCGCCTCCCATGTCAAACCGCAATGGTCTGCTTAGGGGACCTGGTTGAAGCGATCTCGCGCCAAGCTCTGCACTCTTCAAATTGGACCAATCCACGTCAGATGGAAGGGGCTTGGCCTTGAAGCAATTCACTGTGGTGCGCGGGGCAATGACATACCTGTAGGGCATGGAGCGGCCGGCCTCAGGGAGGTTTGCCAGTTAGCGATTGCAAAAATAAAAGTCATTCAAGGCCCATCCAACCCTTTTGGACATCTCCCCACCTCCATTTTTGGTGTCACATCGTGGTCAATGAGTCTGATTTCGGTGATCCCCTTCTCCTTTGTGACTTCGCAAAAGATGTCCGCGACCGTTGAGATCTTTTTGGATGGCGTCAAACTCACGAGGTCGCTATCCTTGTTCAGCCGCCAAAAGATCAGCTCATTGTTGGGGTCATCTTCAGGGGTGAAGGGACCGGTGAATGGAATGACGACATGACATGCATATTAGGTCGAATGTTTTACAACTCCTTGTGGACACCCATCCACCGGCATTGAAGAACATTCATATTCTCAGGGCAGATTGAAATGAATATAAAAAGTTGTTACTTTACAACAATCCTGCCTGGCTTTGCTTCCACATACTGGCCAAGGCCAAACCCAAACAGTTCCCCGGGTTCAATATCGAGCGCTTTGTCAGTCTTGTTGACGATCCAAACCTCGTTGGTGGTGGTCACCGCGACTTTCAACGAAGTCGCACGGGCCAAAGGGGCAGAACCGCTCAACCTGAATCAGTGGGGAGCCGGGAGTGGTTCTGTCTGACTGAGTGTTGTTTCCCAAACTTTAACTTTAAATAAATAGTATAACATCTCAAATAGCTATTAAAGAACAAGTTTGATATGTTGAGGCTCGGAACGAATGGGAGCTTTCAAAGGTGTCCACATCCACCGGTGAAAAGGACATCCGCTTCCGCCAGTTCCACGGTGTCTCGCCCGCCCAGTCAGGAGATGCAACCGTCCGGACTGGCTTCGGGTTCGGGGCCTCAGCACACTCTGTCGCGGTGGCCGTGGACCCCTGGTGGTGGCACCGCAAAGCGTCCAACATAGTAGACTCTTCTGCGATCTTGTCCTGACAGGCCTTGATTCCATCACTTTATGAGATGTACTTCTGCGCAACCAGCTCTGGGATCCTAGGTTAAACCAAGGTGTGTGGGAATCAAATCCTCAAGCCCAAATCATTTCCATGTTAATCCTACCGAAACAAATTGGAAACAAACATACAACTGTTGATGATGACTACTTCGAGTTTCTTGACATCACCGTTGATGACCGCAAGGCAATCCAGTGCGGGAAGGCTTTCGCCGAAAGTTGCAGATGAGCGACTTTTGGCGCCAGCCTGGTCACTACCGTCCCACCAGTCCCTCATGATTTTGCCCCGGATGAGCTCCGTATGACTGGCCATGTCGTTGGAGTCGTCATGGTACACCGATATGAACCGGACATCCAATTTGGACGATGGCTCTTCAAGACGTTCCCGCTGCATGTCCCAGGCCGCGTGGGACCACTCCGCGAACCTGTTCCGGGACGGGACGGCTTCGCATTCAGGCTGGTCTCTTCGTTCATTTGGTTTATTCAGGAAATGTTGAGCCCAAACACCACAAGTTTTTTTCATTATCAGCATCACGTTTTATAAAAACCCCACCGAGTCGGCAAAAGGTCGACAATGAGCACGCACTGATCATCTTGGGTTGTGACACCTGCCAAGAGTTCTTGGATCACAGTCCTCGTCGCCGAAATCCCCCTTTGTTGGACCTCACTGGAAAACGGTGCAAGTTGCAATATGTCTCTCAGTGGTCTCAGACATTCCAAAGCTAAAAGATGCTAAAAGCCTGAAGTCATTCGAGTCATTTCTCTTTAAACCAGGGAACACGCCAGTGCGGCGCAAGTGCATGGTCCGGCTCCGGGTTGACCAACTCGTTGACCCGCGACCGCTGCACTTGCGTTATCGATCCCAAGAGCGCGCGGGATCGATTGAAGGCCGATGTCGCGCTGTTCACCATTGCACCGACGCCTGGCGCTGAGAAGCATGTGTCAGCTCACTACCGGATTTTGCCGAAACAACTTTAAAGCTGTTCAAAGTTAAAACAGATTGGAACCTCCCGCTTTCTAAAGGCTCCCCATAGCAAACTTCACCCAACAGGAAATCAAATCGCTTTTTGTCAAGAAACATTGTTGAGACAACTTCCGCTTGTCCCCAGCGTGATCTGACGGGCTGTAGTTCAGCGCAATCTCATAGTAGTCCATCGCCCTATAGTGCAACATGTTCATTTGAAAAGAAAGCACTAAACCACTGTGGCCTACCCAAGAGCATCCAACAGTGAGAGTTTTTTTGGCGTGCGCCAAGGCGCCCCTGAATCTTGTCTTCCAATAGGCGCTTGTTGCGATTCACTTGGGCGCGGTGAGAAGCGTTCCAAGCTTGGGGAAGCAGAAAGAAGGTCAAACACTTGGAGTTCCCTGTGCTGATGCCCTGGCACAATTGGATGCACTTATCAATCGCAACCGCACCTCAAACTGAAGGTGGTCACGACAGTTGACATGACCCCGCAAATCTTGGAGCCAACCCTTTCTGGAACCCTTTCTGGAATGGGATTCAACCTTCGGAATCTTATGTGTTTTGCAAGGGGCGAGAAGGCCAGACTGTCACATCCACCAGAAGAATGGTGAGCCTCAAGATTTAAATCAGAAGAAAGGTGAACGAGTTTGGGTGTGTCAAACGGTTGGCAATGGTTTCACCTACTATCCATTATGAACAAGTAGCGTATTGTGTGGCAAAGATTGCAGGGCTGATACAATTTGGCCATGTGCCATGACCAAGCTGCTCACATGGATCAATTGGTGGTTGGTTGCCATGTAGGCGTCGACCGCTGCCTTTCCTCGAACATATCGATCGTTCAGGTGCTTGAAGTCCAACGCGGCCTGACAGGCGCCGAAGCAAACACATTAAAGGATATTAAACGATTGTTGGTCAGCGCGCTCACTCCGACATACTCTGGCCAAAGGTGGCTAACAAGTGATGTCAATGTTTGGATTCATTTCAGTACTCAAGTCTCGTGCGAACTGTTTATATGTCTACTGCCTGTTGCTTTGAGAACACCAAGAACCGACTGCTCCAGTCTCGCAATTTGGCGACATCCTCCAATATTTGCAGCTGTGTTTGCTCCCATGTCGTCTGCAGGAGACGAGCTGCCAACCTCGAACCAAGGTTGGACTCGAGAATTAAAGCTCATTGGTTCGGCTCGCCATTCAAAACCACAAAAATACACTAAAGGCTTTAAATGTTCTACATCGGTTCTTGCCCTGACCAGACCACTGATGTTGCCGAAGGGCTCGCTCGCTTTGTCCTTGCTTTCTTTCTCTGCCTGCAGCGAGGGGGGGGAACCCAAAATTGGTGCACTATACACTCCCAATTTGAATCATCGCACAATGATGTGGTATAATCCATTGTCTTCAAACATGGTGCCTCTTGTTGGTATTTTGCAAGGTGGGTAGAGAATATGGTGACTTTTCCCAAGTCTGCTGGCGGCACTGATTGCTCCATCAAGTTCGTCAGGTCTGCGTCTCCATGACGAAGCTCGAACCTCAGATTGTAGCAAGGTCATGTGGACAGAAACAATTCCAAAGTGTTGTCAAATTGTTGGTCAAAAAAATTAATCAAGCCCGAAGACGCTTTGTTGATTTCTGCCAGCACTGAGTCCGAAAAGGTTTTGGGGACACTGGTCAGAAACTGCTGGAGACATGCCTGGAACATCCCACACACTCGTTGCAAACTCTCCTCGGCGGTAGTGGAGGCAAAAGGAACATTGTGTATTCATGTGTCACACACTTAGCTGGTGACAGGTGTGCATGAAAATGCATGACTTGTGGTTTGCAGTCATGAGTCAAGATCTTTCTGAGACCATGGGCGTCTCATCTTCGGTGTTAGGGATACCCAATCTTGCTGCATACGGCCAACAAGGGAGTTCAACAAGTTGTCATCGTTTGTCAGCGCTGACTTCCACGGAAGCAAAATCCCCACCGCACTGCAATGACCCTGGTTGAGAAGACCAGAAGCTATTGCCTCGTGAGTCACGAACTTTGGTTGAGTGTACTGCCTCGCGAAAGCAGGCCGACCAGTCGTTGTCGCCATCACCAACGATCATGCAATCTGACACGTCTTCGCATTAAGTTATAGGGCTACAGTGTTACATGCACACAGTGAGTGTCACAGCACAACCCCTATTGAATACGCCTCACCAGTAGAACCAACGCTTCCTTCACGAGCCTGGGTACTTTATGCATCAAGTACACGGCCGCTGTAGATTCCTGTTTTCCGAGGTTGCACGCCGACGCAAATGTTGATATATTGTCGTGGCCCTGCCGCCGGGGCCGGATGAAGGAAAGGGCAAAGGAATGCTGACTGAACAAAATGTCTCAAGTCTCAAGCGCCTGGAGTTGGCGGACCGCTTGTTCGCCCGAGACACCGGCGCGCACACTCAGCTCCAGCTGATGCAATAGGTTGAACGCGTTTGGCTTCCGCCGCACACTTGAGGATAGCGTTACTCCTCCGCTGCAATCAAGGCAAACTAGCCCCGGACATCAAAACACGGTGGATGGCTCGAAGGTTCAAGTATGGAACTGCGAAAAAATGAATCCTCGATTTGTGGCTATCACATGCGACAGGTCTGCGGCGCAGGAGTTTGCAAAGATGGTGCGAAAGGACCTTATAACCAACACCGCTGAAGGAACATATATTAGAAAGCAAGCATGCCCAGACTACAAGCTGAGGCGCATCTTCACATTCTCCGGTGTCGCCTGCGGTGCCGGCAACTAAAGAAGACAGACCCGCCTTTGGTGTAAGATTGTTCAACGCATGATCGAACACTACAAGTTGATAGAAACAAAAATGGAAGCTACATGAAGCTACATGGCCTCGTACAAGTCTGGTCGCTGGTACATGGCCCACAGCACGGCCAGGCAGCAAACACAACGATTCCACCCCTTGACAAGGAAAATCGATTGAGGCGGTGCGAGCTTCTCGTCGACCTTGATGTCACTCTGAGACACCTTCAAAGCTGGTGAGCGAAGCCATCCTGCCTGCACTGTTGTGCAGGTCACCTTTTCTGTTCCCGGGACATTGGCGTCCGTCACCATCCCGTTTAGCAATATCAGCTGCGCCAGGGACAGCTGGACCTCCTTAATGAGAACATTTGTGTGAGCAAAAACTTGTGAAATACGCTTCATAATCCTCATATTTGGTATGAACGGGTCATGGCAAACAAGTTCTGAACTCAAGCGAGCTGAGAGCCAGTCACCGTCACTCGTCCCTCTAAGGCCATAGTCCTCACGGAATGCGAGCTGCCAAGGGCGCAGGTGCCAAGCCGCGCCCGGCGAAATGAGATCGCCAGTGCTGACATAGGTCCTTGGAAAGTTGAATTGAACATGTGACCTCCGCTTGTTTTTGCCACAAATCCCTGAACAAAACTCCGAGTACGTGACACAGAGTCATCCGGCGGAAACTTTTCCTCCAGCCATAGAAAGAAAGCACATGCTTTCTCCTGGCATTGAATGCTATTAACTGTTGCGTCATGTCACGTCGATTGAACTTCTTGGTATGTAGAAAAAGCTTGGAACCTCCAATCCCAAATTCTGCGTGAGCAGAGTATCCAAGGTCTTGTTCGCATCGACCACGTGCTCTTTCCTTGGGATAGGTTTCAATTTGTTTGAAAACAAATCTTGCCACTAGATGAAGACGGTATTTTCATGTACCTTGGAACCATGGAGTAGGTTTACATAAAGTTCACCTTAATTACCAAATCTTGGAACTTGGGCTCCAAGGAACGCCCACTCGGAAAAGAGCTGCATGTGAAGAAAAGACAATGCGTCTGGTGGAACCGTCAGCTCCCCCGTGGACTTTGCTTTCTTGGCGCCTCCCCCGCCGCCGCCGCTGCCCGAGGGTCTTCTCTTCCCCATCCTGGCCATTGGAGGCAGGCAGATGAGATAGTTGACATTAATTCCAGTCGAATTGGGTTCATGATTGACTTTTGAGTTGAACACGACGACACTCACGACGACAATGTGTCCGCGATCAAAAGAGCACTAAAAATCAACATGATGTCGGTAAGAGTGTATTTGTGAACAGTGTGTGTGGGTCAGAATGTATTTTGTGAATGGATGGTTTGTTCACAAAACGACTGTTCCAGGAAGCGGTCCATTTTGTGAACGTTCACGCCCCCATCATTCACAAAACCCATGGCCATTGGCCGATCTCAATCTCCAGCACTGAAAGTCTTTGATTTTCAGCGCGCCCCTGACTCAGGCCCATCCATTTCGTGAACGATCCCGTCCCGATCATTCACAAAACCGGTGCGGAAACCAAGGGTCCTGTTTGTGAACTCCACATCTATTCACAAAACCCTGCGTTACGGAGAGACCTGTTCACAAAACGATGTGTTACGGAGATATCTGCTCACAAAAGACATGAAGTTTGAGGTTTAAGTCCCCTGTGAATCATCAAGTTGAAATGCATGGGCCGTTTCCTATCCCCAAAGCGTCCTAAGAAAATAGCAAATTATCTGGCGCATCACCTGGCTGGATTAAAGCTGAAAAATCAAAGATGATTTCACGGTGCACCGCTGTGGTTGCGGGATATGCCAGCAATCGCCTCTAAGTATATGTCCTAGGTTGTGGCTTTGATAGCCTGTGCCACAATACGCAAAGCTTTCTGCATTGGGACCCCTTCGGCCCAAAGACGGGCCGCTGCCGCGTACAGCGCCTGATGCGCTCTTGCACGCCTATACAAGGGCAACTCGTCGGGCCTCACCCTTTGCCGAACAAGTCGAAGAGCATTTGGGGCCTTTCCGCGGACACTTCTTTGGACATGGCCGTGGAAGGTTGTTGTAAACAACATTTGTTACACTTGGTGAGAGAGTTGGGCCCGGGCAGCTTCAAGATCCTGCCCCGCTGGCATGTCCACGACCCTGACTCCAAGGCCCACTGAAGGCCCTGATCGCGGAAGGGCCCTCAGAGAACAAGCCCGAAACGGAAAAGCACCCGAAACGAACACCATGACCAACCCATTATGTTTCTTCCATATGTGTCTTCGTGATTTAACATGCGCAAGAAAGAATGCAATGCCACACGTTCACATTGAATCCTTTGGGGTCCTTTAGGTTTGTTGTGTGTTTGACATGAGTTCTTTCTTTCAGATCACTAGGGCTTGAACCAGCTTACATCCAACAGTGGTGGATGGTTGTGGATCCCGTTGGCGCAATCTTCCAGTTGTTGTGCAGCTGAGTGCATCTCAAAGGGAAAGCCACCTCACAAAGAAGTGGGAAGTCACTCCTAGGTCCCTGGTATCAATCCCAACTTGTTGGACTCTGTCCACCGCGTGCCCCAAGCCAAGGTCATGACGCATGATCCTGGCGTACTTCCTGAAGGCCCTGCTCTCTTCGGAGTCGATGTTGATGGGCTTCTCCAAAAAGACTGCGGCGACAAAAACACAGCGGTTTGTAGGATCCAGGATCAAGCTGGGATGTTGGTCCTGTTTGTGTGTGAGTCTATAGGTTAGACCATGTTAGACCTATCAACTCGAGCTCGCGCCCGCACCTGGTGGGCTATCACCATCACAAGCACGAGCAAAGGATGCCGGTAAAAACAGAATTGGAGGTTCTTGCCATGTCTCAGAAGACATAAACCGTTTAGTCCTGCGTGGAAAAAACAAAGCAAAGCAGTTCGGTTTCCAAAGACCTGGTCACAAGCCACTTACTTACTAAGTAAGGTAACTGCCGATCTCCTCAGGACCACGTCGTCGTCGTGGGGAACATAGCCGGCTCGGCTCCAAAAGCGGTGGTTGCAAGATTCTCGGTCCACTCCTCGCACCAACAGGTCTATGGAGACAAGTCAACTGATGTCAACTGACAAGTTGGTTCAATCAACAAGGATGCCATTAACGATTGAAATAAAGCGTCCACTCTCCGCAATGCGCTCCAATCTGAAGACATGGCGGGCCCCTGGCCCCCCAATGCCCTCCACTTGGCATTCAAAGTGGCTCAGCAGCCAATTTTTCCTGACAGTAGTGTGTTGGCAGGGTTGTTCGCGTTTGGCTGACAGACCGGTTCGGCGTCGAAACATGGTAAGTCACATGAAGAACTAAGACTACCAAGGTGCCGCGATTAGAACTTATACAACAAGCAGGCCGCACGCAACACACTCACAATGTCCATGCAAGAGTCCAGTCTCTGAACTGAGAGAGAAGAAAGACCTTGCGATAGGGCTCATGAGGACGACGGGTCAAGTCGTCATCGAACCAGGACTGCAAAGAATCCCTGAAATCAGCGGGCGTCCATAATTCTTGGTGCTTCTCGAGGTGACTTCTTGTCAGCGCGAAGTGAGCGTCGATGTCCTCGTGGCTGTGGCCACTGCTGAGGAAGCTCAACTGGGAGGCCTTGACCTGCCTCTTGGCCGTCCACATTGCCAATGCCCTGAGCAAGCAGTTATTCTTTGCCTCCTTTGTGCAGTTGTCTGCTTGTATGTGTATAGTGCTATCTCGAAGCTCCCGCTCTTTGGACAGCCGGGTCAAAGCGTGACTGATGATCTCCGTGGATCGGCTCGAGGTCGTACTGACCCAATGGGGTGAAAGACATGTCAGGCACATATGCCCGTGCACTAGCAACGTCGTGGACGTTAGCCGTGGCCGGTTGAAGTTCACCAGTTCTTTGCTGAGCATTGCGGTGGCTCGTGGCCACGCGTGCTTCGCAGCGTCCATGCTGTCTAAGATCATGCAAACAACATCTGGGCTCACCGCTTTGGATGCCATGCGGCTCCGTGACCTCAGCTCCCAGTAGCATTGACGGTCCTTGTGCTGTCGATGGCGATGGTCCATAAGCAACTGTTGTTGCATGCGACGGGCCGGCGGGCAGTGACCCAGTTTCTTGATGATGAGCTTGTGACGGCAACACTGGCTGCAAACCGAGTGGTGCTGATGAAATCTCACCCGGAGTTTATCTTGGAAATCCGATTGCCACACCTCGATTTGCCAAGCACTTCATTTTAAAGTGATTCTACCCGACGTTCGCGACGGAACCCGTTTGTGCCAGTCTTCATGGGGCACCTCCCGGTAGAAACTTAAACGCTTAGAATACATACCCG